TGTATAATTTTATATTTTGAAAAGTGATATTTAATATTATTTTATTTTAAAAAAATAATACAATATATATTTTTATTTTTTAAAATGATATATAATTTTATTTTTAAAAAGGGTAATGTGTAATTTTTTTAAAAAAAAATATTTTGTTTTGAAAATAATTATACTCCATCCATCCCATAATTAGGTATTCGTTTACTTTTTACACGAAGTTTTAGAAATATTATTGAGATTTAGTAGGAATAAAGTAGAAATTACTAAAATAACCTTAGTATTGTGTGATATAAAAGTAATGACATTTGTGTAAAATATTGTAAGTTATAAAGGTATTTGTAATGTTATGTAGATAGAGTACAGTTACTTAAAAAAAAGAAATGAATATTTTGTTATGGGACGGATTAAAATGAAAAAATGGATAATTTGTTATGGGACAGAAATAGTATTATATATTTTTCATAAAAAAATAAGTGATAATGTAAACAAGTTAAATAGTACTCCCTCCATCCGCTTACAAAGTTTACATATTTCTATTTTGGGACGTCCAATTACAAAGTTTATATTTCATTAAATACCCTACTTTTTTCCACAAATATTTTTACTTTACATCACATCATTACTTTTACACAAAAAATAAGGGCAAAAATGTCATTACACTACTTTTAACTACTCACTATAATTAAAATACTATTATTTCTTAAATACCGCGCCAAAAGTAAATATAACTATTGTAAATAGATGGAGGGAGTATTAATTTGAATTTGAAGTTAAATATTAAAAACAAATATATTCTATAATTATTAGTCAAAATGCATATAAAAAATGAGTGAGATGTACATCTCACACAATTGTTTGAATACATACAACTTGTCTTGTAACACCTTTACAATGTCCCTTAAAATATGTTTTTCATAGATATATTTAAATATTTGTTACAAATCTTGCCATGTGAATTAGAAGATCCAAGTTAACTTTTAAATTCGAGTTCTAAGATACAAAATAAAATACTCCCTCCGACCCGGTGAAAGAGTGGCGGTTGCTTTTTGTACGTAAATTTTTTAACATTAGTATTATATTTGATTGTAGTAAAAAAAAGACAAAAATACCCCTGTTAGTATAGTGTAATATAAAAGTAATGACATTTGTGTAATATATTGTAAGTTGGAAGGGTATTTATTATATTAGGTAAGTAGTACCATTACTAAATTAGGAAATGGTAACCTTATTTTGGGACGGACGAAAATAGAAAATGACAACCTTTCAATGGGACGGAGAGAGTAACATAATTGAGCGAGTCATCACTAATATTCTTAAAAATTGGAACCATATGTTATAAACTATAACAAGTTGGAAATATTAGTGTTATTCGATTGTCAAAGATCACACTAAGACGTATTTGGCCATTAGCTTATAATTTTTAATTGTTAGTTAATTCGATTAATTGATTTGATTAGCTAGATATATTAGCTATTTAGTTTTTAACTGTTATAATTCGATTAATTGATTTGATTAGCTAGATATATTAGACATTTGTACTAAAGTGTCTATTAAACAACTATGTAATATTAATTGTTTATGCGTAAAGTGACAACTAATTTATGTTATATTTTATTTTTCAAATATAATTGTATTCTATCGGTGTATGTAATTTTTAAATTTTTTGTTATTAATTATTAGTGATTATAAAAGTGTTATTAAAATATTTAATTTTGTTATATTTGATTTGTTTTGTGATAAAAATAATATATTTTTATTGAAAATATGGGTAATTATGTTACTGAAAATAGTGTAAAATATAAAAATTTAAATAATTTGTATTATGTACTCCCTCCTTTCCAAACACCATGCAACATATGTGTTTGACACGGGAATTTAGGTTGAGAGTATTAAGTATGGTAATTTGAAATAATTTGGATATTAAGTTATGTGATTGAAGAGAGAAATAATTATTTATTTTTTTCTTTGAGTGATGTGATGAGATAAAGTAAAGTGTATATTAATATATGTATATAAATATTACTCCCTCCGTCCCCGATACTGTGTCGACTACACTGTAGACACTGTATTTTAGGAGGGGTGTAATTAGTAGATAATTAAGAATGTATTAATGAAAATAATTATCCTATAATATAAATAATTATAAATTAAGATTAAGATAACTAATTAGTTTAATTAAAATTAAATAAATAAAATTAAAAAATTTGAAATGAGATTAAAGTGTGTAATCATTTTCCAAAAAAAGAAAGTGACATGGTATGTGGGACGGACAGACAACGTGGACATGGTATTTGGGACGGAGGGAGTATTAATTGTTTCTAAATTTCAAAATGTTGCAGTGAATTTGGAACAAACAAAAAATGAAATGTTGCAGGGTGTTTGGGACAGATGGAGTATCTTTTTATTATTTTAAAATTTTTATATTACAAAAAATAATAAAATTAGTGTTTAATATTTTGCTTACTTTTAAAAAATTTAGATATTTTAAAAATAAAATAATTTACATGTAAAAAATTAATAATTTTAAATTTATAAGAATAAATTCATAACTCACTAAAAATGTTAAAATAGTTAACAAAAGATGTAATAAAAAATATATGATAAACTGTTTTTTAGTCCCGTACTTATATTTTTGTCTCGTAAGTGAAGTTAAGTGGAAAGTTTTCGTTGTTTTAGTCCTCCGGCGCCGGGGACGCCCGCTTGGCTCGCTGGAAGCCACGTGTCCACCAGGTGTCCCGCCAGATATCGACACTTGGCGGACACGTGGATTTTATTTTATTTTTTATTTTTATTAATTTTTTTTTCAATAGGACCAAATAAAAAAATTAAAAAAGACAAATAAAATAAAAAATAAATTTTAATAAAAATGAAAAAAATGCACTTGTGTATTAATTCACTGATGTAGGAAATTTGCTCGAGGCATCTTAGTCAAAATGGGATGTCCAAGTTGTATAAACACGGTTGTTGTATGTATGATTTTAAGGATGTATTTGGTAAAAAAAAAAAAAAAAAGAAATTTCGGAAAAATAGTACTATCTCCGTCCCATATCTATATATCTATTTACTTTTTGTACGGAGTTTTAAAAATATTAGTATTATATTGGAATATAGTAGAAGTAAAGATAAAAAAACTAAATTGTCCTTATTAGTATTGTATGATATAAAACTAATGACATTTGTGTAATATATGTAAATTGGAAGGGTATTTGTAATGTTAGGTAGACAATACAGTTACTAAAAAAATAGATAATTTGTTATGGGACGGACGAAAATGAAAAAATAGATAGATTGTTAAGGGACGGAGGGAGCAGTAAAAAATGAAATTATAGAGAAAATGAATTCGCTAGAGAATGAGATTGGATTATTTAATTTGGTAAAACAGATAATTCAGTTGAAAATTATGCATAAAAAAATATAAAGCATAAAAAAGAATACACTATACTATTAGTTGAAAAATATAAATCGATCGCTAAAATTATAAATTGAATAAAAAAAAAATATTATTGTATTTTTAATCTGATAATTTATTTTAATAATTATTTAGATATGATATTTAATGAGATTTGAATAATATAAGAATCATAAAAATTAAATAATACTAAAAAAATAAAACATAGCAAATAAATACAGATTATATTGTAAAAATTATTGTGTGCTTGGTGAAAAATTAAGAGCTTTTTATATTATTCATGTATATATTATATCTGAACATTTTAAATAAACTATTCATATTAATTTATTTTTTTAACATATTTAAATTTTTATCTTTTTTTTATTATTAAATATTTCATCAGATTAATTTCAAAGTATTTTTTTATTATTTTATCTGTTCACTTAAAGTATTTTTTTTCTATTACAGTAAAATTTACTAATCACATATTAATACAAAAATTACTATTTAACTTTTATATAAATTACAAATATACTATACACATATAATTAATTTATATATAAAGTAAAAATAACAAAAATATTAAAATCATCTTATAAACTTTCACTATTTATGGTGTATTTGTTTGGAGATTGGATTTTAAATTTACTGTTCATTTTATTTTTTCTCCCCAAAATATCAAATAAAACACATATTTTTCAAATATTATACTAAAAATCAATTTTACATTCAAAACATCACATCAACATCTATTTATATCACATCATACAACTATTCAAATTCAAAATTTTTAGTATTCAAATCCCAACTCAAAATCCAAATCCCTAAACAAACACACCCTAAATAATAAAATAATATACTACCCCCTTCCAGCCAGGAAGTAACCAGATATTTTTGCGTCATTATATTTAACATTAAAAATATCTTATATTTGTATAGTTTAGTCCAAAAATATGATTGTATTTGTATTATAAGATACTAATAGATGTATTTTTGTCATTTTCTCTTTATTTGTACTAATTTTTTATATAATAATTAATATTCAAATATCAACTCAAAAGATATCACAGTCTGGACGGATATAATATTAGTTTTTGATCTATTACAAAATCTCAAATGATTTTCTCCGAGTGGATGAATGAAGTAACATATTGTACGTAGTAGTGAGTTAATGTTTGTAATGTTTATTATATACTTAGGGTGTGTTTGTTTGGGGATTTGGATTTTGAATTGGTATTTGAATAGTAAAAATTTTGAATTTGAATAGTCGTATAAACAAGTGTTGATATGATATTTTGAATGTAAAATTAATTTTTTAATTTGATGTTTTTGTGAAAGAAAAATGGGATGAATAGTAAATTTAAAATCCAATCCCCCAAACAAACACACCCTTAATCAATCTTTGTTAATATACATAGAAACAAATTATTTCTATACCTTTACATTAAATTAAAATTTAAACCAAACAAACAAGCTCATCCTAAAAGTCTTAATTGGGCTTTTACATAAATGGGCTTTATAGAATTAAGGCCAATAATATTTTGTGATATGCCACTTCAAGCCCATTAAGGTCAATATACTTATATATATATATATATATTTATATGTAACCATTTCAGCCACAACCTCGATAAGCCTCGAATATTCGCGCACGACTGCAGAAAATTTGGGGGAGAAATCTCCGATCAATTAGAATGTTGCGGCATCTGACCAACGCGATCCGCGCTCAGCGGCTGGGTGCCCCTGCGACCGTCGCTGGTGGCGGGCTGCAGCGGATGTACCACGAGAGAGTGGTGGACCACTACAACAACCCCAGGAATGTCGGTTCGTTCGACAAGAACGATCCCGCTGTTGGAACGGGTCTTGTTGGAGCACCGGCGTGTGGCGACGTGATGAAATTGCAGATTAAGGTTGATGAGCAGAGCGGGAAAATAGTTGATGCGTGCTTTAAGACGTTCGGCTGCGGCTCCGCCATAGCCTCCTCCTCCGTTGGTACGTTGATTGACCGAATTGTGCGGTTCGTTGTGTTTTGTGATATATATATATATATATGCATTTTTCGTTTCTGAATTATTTCGAATTTGGTTATTGTGTTTGTGTTGGAATGGCGAATTGGAAAGGTTGAGACAATTTGGGGAAATTCCTTAGGGTTGGATGTGATTTACATGAAATTTAACCCGCTGGAAATTTGAGAATTCGGAAAACTTATTGTAGAAGTTGTATGGTCAAATTTGATCATAATCCGATCCAATTGTTTGCTGCCGTCGCTGAATTATTTAGAATCGTTCCTTTCGATTGTATATTTTATATGATATTGAACTTATGGTATGAGGATTAAAGTGTGTCTCCATTCCAAATTTATACAGGGAAGGTGAGGCAACATGATTCTTTTCCTACTGGGTGTGATTTTATCAAGAATAATTTTGTGCTTATGAATTTATTTGTCCTTCGTTAAGTGTTGGCAATGGAAATTTGCGCTTTGTTGTTTTGTTCATTACTATTTGCAATTGAGAATCTGTAGTCATTATCTGTTTTATGACATTGTATAAATTTATGTGGAAGCTTGTATGTTACATATCTCTTGGATAAGTCGGCGAAATGTTGTGTGTGATTTTCTTTTACTTGCTGCTGTGTATTGCCATCCATTAGTTAAGAGTTTGCTTTCACCAATTGTTGGAAAGCAATGTATTCATTCCATTATACTCACTCCGTCCCACATTGGAAGTCTTGGCTACTATGAATTCGAGAATTTAGAATGACTATAATTAGTAGATAATTAAAAATATATTAGTGAAAATGATTAACCTATAATATAAATTATTATAGATTAAGATTAAGATAACTAATTAGTTTAATTAAAATTTTAAAAAATTAAATTAGAAAATTTAAAATGAGATTAAGATGTGTAATCATTTTTAAAAAAAGTAAAGTGACATGAGATGTTAGACGGACAGAAACGGAAACATAGACATGGTAGGTGGGACGGAGGGAGTATCATGTTTTCACCTTGCGGATGAGATTATTGGAACTTCGAAACATACTTTGCTGGTTTTGTAAATTGTAATCCATTCTCACTCATATGTTAAAAAGAATGAACTTGTATGCCGAAAACTTTAAAATATGATGATCTTATATTCTTATTCTCTTCATGTACTGCTTTGAACTACTGTTGAAGTAAACCTTTTCCATTTTCAGCAACTGAATGGGTGAAAGGCAAACAAATGGAGGAAGTACTGTCAATCAAGAATACGTAAGTTAAATGCTTTTCTGATTTGTTTCCTGCATAGTTTATTCGCTGTGGTTTTTAACAGTATGCCCTTTCCATATTGCTTTGGAACAAGCTTTCAGTTAATTTTTATATTTTTACTAGGCACTCTAACGAATTTCTTTTATATTTTTACGTTGATGGTTTCAACTGTCTCCATGCTGAGCTAATTCTCTTGCCTTAAACTAGCAACTATTCAATCTTACTTTATAATGCTGAAAAAGTTTGTATATTCAATAATTTTCATATTGAGGTACTCCACCCTATGTACCAATATTCCTTCTACACCAGTTATGGTATGCGATGAGGATCAATTATGTCGTTCCATTTCTTGAGTTTGAACTTTCCATACTGATAGAAGAAGTTTGCTATGTACATATCCGTTATTTTAAACTTTATGTTATCCTGTTATAAGAAACATGTGGAAAGAACTCTTAAAGAGGAATTGCCTTTTTGGATGCATGTTTCTCACTAAAGAGGCATTCCAAATTACCCAATCTATCAAACCTAACTTTTCCAAAAGACATATGCATTCTACGATATTTATATGTGTGAAATAGCATGTGTTTCTATTTCTTAACATCATTTTGTTTCTTCTTATATGTGATATATTGCCTAATGATTAAATGATTTAATAGAAAATAGAAGTGATGATTCTGTGGTGCAAGACAAAGGATTTTGTGTGAATAGATTTGAGTATGAATTTAAATCAGACACTTATTGAATAAGAAGAATTCATGCGTGGTAGATTAGGTGTTTTGAAAATGTTATTATCTTGCAAGAGATCTAAACTTTGATAATATTTTATAGCAGATTGAATGATTGTTGTACAGTTGGTTTTATGCATTTATGCAAGGGACTTTATAATTTTGAAGAGCACATATTTGGTTGATTAGGTGTTTTGATAATATCATTGTCTTGCAAGAAATCTGAACTTAGAAAATATTTTACTATTTAGTTAGGTAAGAAAGTTTTTATTCATTTACTGTGGCCTAAATAATCCCAATCATTACATCCTTCTAAATCTTCCCTTCCCATTCCATCATGGAAGAAGGACGAAAAATTTCTGTTGTTTGGTAGTTAATAGTAGGGAAGAAAAAATTATATTATATTTAGGTAGAATGAATTGAAGAAAGGAGAAAAGTGGTTAAAAGTTTCATACTGAAAATTCGTTAAAACTTTTCTTGAGACAATACATGAATTTGTCCAGATGTTCTTGTCTCTCTTTAAACAATACAACACTATTTTTATAATTCTACTCCCTTCTCTTTCCTTCTTTTCCTTGGACACTCTATTGAAATTGATGAAAATGGCAGATTTGGAAATACTTCTCGCAGAAAGCTTTCCACCCATATTTGGACAGATGCTTGTGTGCCTTGTTGTCTTTTATTTTCGGAGTTATTATTTCTTTTTCTATTTTTCTTTTCTGTTTCCTATCATAAACACTTAACCTAGTTATAAAATTAAGACTACTTCTTTTCTGTATTAATCACTTGATCATATAAAACATATTAAATACAAATAAATAGAGGTTAACTAGTGTTTCATAATTAATTTATACAGGCAAATTATACTTGTCAAACATTCATAAACTTCTTGGACAATTTATGCTGATGTATAAAAGAAGTTGCTTTGATTGTTTCTTTAGGGCTTTGAAATAATTTGCGTCTTTCAAAAGATATATATGTGATAGATCTTCTTTCTTTATAAATCATATTAGCATTCAGAATGCCACATAGTGATCGGATGGTGCAATGGGTTTTATGTGACTTGAGTAGCAAGTTTACATAAGGAACATTATTGCAATCTGATTTCTTCCTTGATAACTGACAGAAAGGATTATGTTTGGTGAATTTTAGTATACACATGTCTCTGTATGTGATTTTTGGTTGGAATGTAAACCGAACAAATCAGATGAAGTTCAAGAAAATGTTTGTAGAAGTAACAAATATGTAAGGGAGAAAATGTTCGCAAACGGTACTGTAAAAATAACTTGCAATAAATATGCCTAATCTCGTCTGGTAAGTACTTTCTGTGAAGATAATATAAAGCCCCGACGCACCTCTAACATTACTCATTGCGTTTTATAAATTAAAGCTTCATTTAATAGGATTAATATCAACTTTTCATTTTCACTAACACTACATGCATCTTTTTCATTGTCTACTTGATTAAATCTCAGAAAATTTGGTTGTAAAATTTTATTTTAGGGAAATTGCAAAACATCTTTCTCTTCCGCCAGTGAAACTACACTGCAGCATGCTCGCCGAGGACGCAATTAAAGCAGCTGTGAAGGACTACGAAGCGAAGCAATCCAAATCGAAGCCTCTGTCTCAAGAGGCTGCTACCCCTGCTGGGGAGAAAGCTGCAGATGCTTGAACACTTGCTGTAAGTATACCGTATACCCAACTTTATTGTGTCGTAATGCTTTTTATACTTCTTGTTGACACCTTACGTCTTTTCCGGGCGTGTCCCGTCTCTCGTTTCTGTAATATTTTCTTGGGAAGTATTAGTTGTTATTACATTGTGGATTTTTTAAGTGTCTTAACTAGAGATCATATGGTTATTCTGCTTTAGGGAGTATTGTCATTTTCTGTTTTTTATTTTTGTCCATTGTCAAGTTTGGATACAGGTTCTTGGAGGATGTGTGTGTGTGTTTTTTCTTTTTAGTTTGAATTGGGAAGATTGGGCTTGAATTTTGTATTTAAATAATATTTGTGTGATGCTTTGTAAAAATAAATGATGTGTTTTTGTTTTCGAAAAATGTTGAGTCCAAATAGTAAAATTAGTTTTGAAAATTTTGGAAATAGTTAAAAATTTAGCATCTATGCGATATTTATAAGAGTAAATAGAAAGCTAATGTGTTATAATTTATTGTATTTAACATAGGTCACATTGGTTATATTTACCTTCGGTGTTATTGTATTTAACATTAAAAATTTTTTTTATTATTATATTTTGAAAAAATAATTGATATTCAAATATGAACGGAAAAAAGTAATTGAGATCCTTAGAATCGTACGAAGTAATAGTAAATGTAATTATACAATGTGATATGTTATATATTGTATTTATATTTGAGATGTGAGTTATATTTTGTGATGTTGTATATAATCCATTTATTTTACTATTTTGCTAAAATTAAAATATATTGTGCCGAAATTATAATTATATCTTTTTACATGTAATGATACTTTATTTGTTATAAAAATAGTTTCTACTATTTAACTTTTATAATTTTTTATAATAAAAATTATTTTATTTTATAAAATATTATATTTAAATTACTGTTCGAATAAAAAAATTAATTTAAAATTTAATAAAATAAGTAAAAGTTAATCAATTAAATATATTAATATTTATTTGTTAAAATATTTCTGATTCGATTTATTGTTTTATTATCAATTATTTTGTATTAGATATTTTCTTTTTATTATATTTTTCAAGTAAAATTTTTATTTACCAATATAATTTTCTTTCTTTACAATTTCTATCCTATCTCATTGCAATTTTATTTTATGTACCAAATACACTGTAAATCTTAAATCTTATTGCTGCTGGCTCTCCCTTCCTCTCTTTTTATAAAAGTTTGTAAGAAAATTAAAAATGATTGTATATGAATAAATACATTTATTTATTGAAAATGGATAGAAATAAATAAGTTTTAAATAATGATTTTGAGTGGGTCTTATATTATAAATCGGTCATGCCACATGGTATTTTTTATTTTTAGTAAATTTATTTATTTTAAATATACTTAACAAAAATATAAATCAATTTAATTAAATTTGTAACATAGAATTATTCAAATTCTCTTTATTTTTATTTTTCTCTTCAACAAACAAATATTTTTATTTATATTTACAACTTTTTATTTTTTATAAAATTAATTATAAATAGATATATATTTTTCATATTTGTATTATGTAAAATTTTTATTGAAATATAATATTGAAAATATTTATAAACAATATTATTATATAAAAAAATAAAAAAATAATATTATAATTTATTAACCTAAACTAATTAAAAATATTAAAAACTGAGAGTATATTGTCAATTGAAGTTAAGATGACAAGCAAATACTAAAAATTCTAAGTTTTGAATGTCACTATTCATGATTTTAATGTTTAACTAAAATTTGTATAAAATTACTTTTTTCATCCCATCTACTATGTCATAGTAGATACAAAAACTTAAAAAATATATGATTAATAAATAATTAAAAAAAATTATAAGTACAAAATAAATAAATAATAAACCAAATCTTATTGAAAAAGCATCGTGTGGTCAATTGACTCTTTAAAGCATTTCAATTTGGGCGTGACTCAGTCAGATTTTCCACAAAGAATTCATCAATTTGTTGAAAATGGATATTTGTTTCCTACCTCAATATTTCTTCTAATAAATCACAATTTAATTCTTATCTATATCTATCTTTATATATATATATATAAATAAATCAAGGACCTATCAATAATTCCATATTTTATATTGGATTGTTCAATGTGTTCATTAAAACTAATTATAAACTATGGATCCGTTCACGCAGCATTTTTTAATGAAATAAGTTTTAGTTAGGATAGGAGAAAATGTGTCAGATGTATAAAATATGCTCAATTCGTCCCAATACAATAGTCTTGTTTACTATTTTTGTCCGTTTCAAAACAATAGTCTTGTTTCCATAAATAATCGTATCACCGTAAAACTATCCCTATTTTTTCATTTTTATTACACAATTGCTACTACTTTTTACACTAATATTTTTTATCCATATTTTTTACCAACTACCAATATAATATCAATATTCCTTAAATCTCGTATCCAACCCAATTAAAATTATATTTATAGGACGGAGAGAGTATCATTTTTATATTGAATATTTAACTTTTTATAATGACTTTTTTATTTTTTTTATTTTTATAATGAATGACTTTTATATAAAATATTTAGTATTATTTATTATTATCTTTGAAAGTTTACAATTTAAAAAAAAAAAAGAAATAGTGCCGAAGTACAGAGCTAATTTGATTAGTTCAAATTTATAAACATGTTGTATAAATATATTTTTTGTGCTTAACTAAATAGTAGCGCATATTATATGAATTATTATTATCATTATTATTACTTGTAACATTTATATTAGATTATCCACCTTTCATAATTCTCATGCTAAAATTTAAAAACAATCATATGCCTTGCTAATAATTTCCAACAGATTTACTCCCTCCGTCCCATATCTATATATACATTTACTTTTTACACGAAATTTTAGGAATATTACTATTATATTTGAATGTAGTATAAATAAAAGTAAAAAAATTAAATTGCCCTTATTAGTATTGTATGATATAAATATAATGACGTTTGTGTAATATATTGCAAATGGAAAAGGTATTTATAATATTAGACATACAAAAATAGAAAAAATGGACAAGTTGTTAAGAGACGAGGAAGTATTACTTTCATGTGATCGTAATTTCTAACATTCATCAATATACATGAAAATAATCAAATGTTTATATATATCCAAATAAAATGTTAATAATCATTGAAAAGAATGTCGAACAAATCAGTAGTATGTATGTGTATATATATGTAATTAGCAGCAGAGTTAGCAAAATCTTCCTAATTGAATAAGCATGACAGTCATGTCATCTCTCGACCCTCTCGACACAGAAACATCCACAAGCTTCCGGCACGCCGCCACCGGCCGAGGTCGATCCACATTTACGCACATCGGCCGCGCAATATCTATAGCTTCTTGATTGCTTACCTGCGCGACCAAAAACCATCGATCCGATCAATATTTCAATTGTATTCGACAATTTTATCTTATCACTTATTTATTTTAGCTTAGGAATCGATCAAACTCCGGCGATATAATATTATAAATTTATCATATTTACGAAAATTTACTTTATCATAAACATTATAGGAATTGGTCTCCGTATTAGAATAATAATCTTGAATTTTAATCGTCCAAAGTTAACAAGTGATTAGATCAGATAAAATAATATTCTTCCTATCCCTTATATATACTTTTCTTTATTTGGACTCATGTTTTATCGTGATATATAATTTTAATTTTTTTAGGTTTTACTAATTTTTATTTACCTTTTATTTTGAATGATTTTATAATTATATTTTAAAAACTATAAAAAGTTTTTGCGAAGTTCTAAATTTAAAATAGAAAAGCATAATCCATAGCAACTTAAAGCTCTAAACCTCATTAAAACTCCGAAATTAAGCGTAATTGGACGAGACCACAAAATATCGTCCACCAAAATTATCCCACTATTCATTTTTTTTTATTGTCCACTAAACTTATATCAACCCATAATTTTATTATTTTTAATTTAACAAATAATAACTAATTTGCCACTGTTTTTTCTACTTATCTACTATTTTTATTATCAATTTTTTATTAAATTTCCTATAACACCTCTTTTTTTTTTGTTTTTATAAATTTTTATCAATCTTTTAACATTCAAATATCTTTATTTCTTAATTTTCGTGTTGAACCAAAACTTATCCATGTGCTTTCTGCAGTTTTAGAAATATTAGTATTATATTGGGATTTAGTAGAAATAAAAGTAAAAGACTAAACTAACCTTATCCCATAAACCATCGGAAGCCATGACAAGAAACTCGTGCTCGGGTCCGAGCCGGACAACCCGACTCTCCGGCTCGGCCGTCACCCATTGTTTCAGGTACTCATCTCCAATGCTTCGAGACACCGCCAACGACCCCAAAACTCTCCAAACACCGTTACGGCATTCCACAAAACCGCCCTACAAAAATACACTCGGCCGTCAGCTCCAAATCGCACAACGCGCCAATACAAACATATACATACATACATACATACATATATATATATATACACATCGAGGCGCTGACCAGAGCTTCGATTCTGTGCCTCTCGTCGTCCCGAGACGGGCAGTGATCCGACGTCAATGCCTCGGCAACCCCACCTCTGCTGCAGACTGCTCGACAGTCACCCGCATTGGCCACTACTAGATTACCGTTCCTGATCAGCGCCGTCACAGCGCACGACCCGCCCGGACAATCCGTTTTCAGAAACTCCGAATCGGTTTTGAAATAACCATTCTTCACAGCTTGTTCCGCGTCATCGTCGTCGTCGCCGCCGCCTCTTCTCCCCAGTTCGGTGATGATGTTCTTGTCCAAATTCCGCGCCGCAAATTCGGCAGCTTTCGAGCCTCCGTGCCCGTCGAAAACTCCAAACAATGCCTACATTACCATATATATTTAACCAATTTTCAAACTTGAAGCTCTTCAAATACATGGAAATTTTTTAGAATATCATATCAAATACTAATTTTTTACAATTTCCTATATTTTACAAAAGTTTAATTTTCTCATAAACGAAACTTCACCGTCTAGACGAGCCTACAAATCATTTTCCCTAAAATCAAACACATGGCAGCATCGAGAAACCGCAGATTACATACAAATTTGCACAGACAAGATCCTTACAAAATGTCCAAAACATTCGAACAAACTTAAGGAAGGTATTGCCGAATATTACCTGGTCGGAATCGCCTTGAAGCCCTACGGCAGCAGAGTATCGATCTTCCATCTCGCCTCTCCTCCCTCTCTTACAGCACACGGCATAGCCATCTCCCTCCATCTCCACCGCCTCAACCGGCGGCGGATCCGCCGCTACCGCCGCCGCCGCCTCCTCCACAAAGAACGCCGGAATATCCAGCCTCGGCGGCCTCTTCCTCTTCAGGACGGGGGATGAGTCTCCTCCGGTCAAGCACGTGACGAGTCCGCTCGCCTTGTGCAGGCGAATTAGTCGCGGGGAAGACGACTTTGGCGAGCAAATTGAAGCCGTCGCCGGAGTAAATACCGGCGAGCTCGAAATTGCGACGGTGCAAGACGACATCTGGATCGCGATGGACAGGAAAATCGTGAAAATGTCTCCAACGTTCGAATTTTGGGGATTTTAGGGTTTGGAAATTGGGAATTTGGGGTTTTTATAGTGAGTGGGAGAGCCGTTGGAATATCCGTACCGTGTGGAGGCTCATTTATTATTATGCGGTTTGTTTCTTTCTTTTTGTTTTCGATTTCTTTCTGCATTGACTCTTCCTAAATCTGTAATGTTAGAATGATACTTAGGCGTGTTATAGTAGTATTTTTGTAATAAAAAGTCCTTCTATTTATTTAATTTTGATTTGAAATTAGGATGGCAATTTGAATTTTAATTATATTTTAATATTATAATATTTTATTTAAAAATAATATTATTATGTGCTCACATAATATATATCTATTTTAAATTATTTAATTACAAAGTAATTATTTTAAAAATATCATATTTTTTTTTCTATAAATACTCTTACTTTATTATCATATTTCTATATTATAAAACAAAAACAAATTTATCTTTAAATTATTATAAATTTCAAGCAAAAAATAATTATTTAATTTCAAAATAAACAAAAAGATATTGTTCCCACTCAATCCCATAAGAAATGATATTATTTTTTATTTTTATTTTTGTCTGTCTCAAAACAACAATATCATTTTATAATTTAACAGTGGTAGTATTTATATAACATAATTAATATTTTTATAACTTTTAATATATCAATAAGGGTATTTATGTCTTTTAATTATAAATCAATATAATATTAATATTAAAAAATTTACGTACAAAAATAAATGATATTAATTTTATGTGACCGGGTAGTATTTTAATTAAAAACTTAAATGAATAGTATTTATTATTATTATTATTATTATTGTTATTATTATTTAAAATAAAAACAAACACAAATCTTTCTACTTTCTTGGGAGAATTTTCCATCTAAATACTCTCTCCTTAGGATAAAAAGTGAGTCGTTTATTTGAATTCGATACCCGAAATTAAAAAAGAAAAAACAAAAGGTTAATATTTTATTAAAATGTGAAAAAAAAAAGTTAATTTAGAGAATTTTTTGAAATTTAATTAATAATTAAAAAGTTAAAAATAAAATATTGTAAAAACAATAATTTTATTGTAAATAAACATTAAATAAAAAATAATAGATAAATAATAATTTTTAATTTTAATCAAATATAATAATAAAGTAAATTTAAGTGATGAACGAAAAATAAAAATAAAAATACATTTGACAAACATACAAAATAATTCTGTTTGGTTTATAATGTACATTATTACTATTTAAATTACTAATTTGTCCAATTTTTATTTTTATTTATAAAAATATCATCATATTATATAATTTTTTTTTTTTTCTATAACGTGGGAATTTGCGGCCGTTACCCGAAAATGCGCATTGTATAAAAATTTAAGGGTATTATTGATAATTCAAACTTAATCGAAAATGCATATTATTTTTTATTTTAAGTTTGAATTATATTTTCATATTAAATATGATAAAATATGTTGATAGTCTAAAAAAATAAATTATAGTAAATTATTTTTAATGAATAAAGCATATAGAGTATATTTTATTTGAAGATACACATTATATTTTTTATAATATTGCTTGAAAAATATGTCAAAAAAAAAAAAATGTTGAAAGAACACATGCTTATGTAGTAAATACTAATATAGAAAATATTTGATTTTTGACTTTTGCTTGACTTTGATTTTTTTTGTTTTTTTAATTTGAATTTTGATATTAATTTGTATAAAAAATAATGTATTTCTATTTTGTATAAATACAAAATTTAATAATAATTATTTTGATTTGAAACAAAAAATAATAAATTCACGATATTTTAGAAAATAAAACAATAAATAATAAAAAAATTAATACACAAAAAAAATTATGAAATATTTTATACAGTATTTTTGAAAATATATTATTAACAAATAATATCAATATATATATATCGAACCTTAATTTTGAATTCATATATATATATATATTTATATAATATTTACTTGACTTAGTCGAACAAGTATCTATAGTGACTTTTGAAAAGCCAAAATAAAAATCTAATTGATGGAGTCAAAAACCTTTTAAAGGTTGTGTTTTTTTTTTTTGTTTTTTTTATTTTTTTTTTGTTGGATTTACCATAAAATTTTATTACTCATATATATATATTTAAAAAAAAATCAAATTAAACAAATTTTTTTTTTTTTTTTTTTTTTTTTTATCTACAAATCTTACTTGTCACATATAATTAAATTCGACTGAAATTTATCCAAAATGTACTAATCAGATTCTACGTTATTAAAAAAAAAAAAATCTTTATAAATTATAGCCCAATTGCTACTTAAAATTTACTATGTTTTAATCTCCATAAAAATATATATATATATATATATATATATATAAAACTATTATATGGTTCCTGCCCCCATTCTCAAATGAACTATATGGTGTTTTATAGTAAATAAAATAACAATAATATTTTTATTAATTAGTGATAATATGTAAAATATTTTGATATTTTTGCCTACTGATATTCTATATAAAATAATTGTATGCATAATACAATATTTTTAATTTAAAGAAAAATTAGGGATATTTTATATTAATATAAAATTATTTTTTAAAAATAAAATAGATATTTTTGAATGTCACAGACGAAAATGATAATTAGTGCGAAATAAATATATAATATTTATTAAAAATCATATCGAAAAAAGAACAAAATCTTTATCTATCATTATTTCATTATTCATTCTTTAACACTCGCTGCTATTTCTTCTACTTGACCAACTACTTTGTTATTAATTATTTACTAAATTTCTTATAATATCCCACATCAATTTTTACTCACTATATTAAAATTTTATTATTTTTTTATTTTTTTGTGTCCGGAAATAGTGATATAATTAATCGGGACGGATTAATCATATTTTATACTTTCTCCGTCATTCAAATCTATACTTATTTTCTTTTTTTTTGGTTGTCATTCAAATTTATTTTCGTTTCATTTTTTAGTAAAAAAATACCACTTTTCTTCACAAAAAAAAAAAAATTATATTTTTATATATTTTTCTTAAAATCCGTGTCCTGTCAAATGAGCATGCAATTTGGTGACTGAAGGAATATTAATTTTTAACTTTTCATAAGTAAATAACACGTGTGTTTCATATGGTATGGAATTATTAGTTTATCCGTGCCACAAAAAATATCTATCTTCTTATAAACATTAGAATTTAGGTAAAATATAATTAGTAAATAATTTAAAATATAACACTCCCTCCGTCCCAATACAATAGTCTTGTTTACTATTTTTGTCCGTCTTAAAACAATAATCTTATTTTCATAAATAACCATATCACCATAAAACTACCTCTACTTTTTCATTTTTATTACACAATTGCCACTATTTTTTACACTAATACACTCACAAGGGCAAAAAAGTCTTTCATCTATACTTTTTACTAACTATCAATATAATATCAATATTCCTTACATTTCGTGCCCAACCCAATTAAGACTATAATTTTGAGACGAACGGAGTATCAACAATAATTATTATATAATAAAAATAATTATAAATTAAAATTAAAATAAAAAATATTTTAATAAAATTAAAATTATAAATTTAAAAATTTAAAATAGAATTAAGGTATATAGTTATATTAAAAGAAAAACAAATTATATAGAATTGATAAAAATACAAAAAATAAATACTTTATATTGAGAAACTCCTTCGGCCCAAATAAATTGTTCATATTTTTTATTTCAATCCGCTCCAACGTAATTAGACATTTATTTATTTAAAATATAATTATACATTTTAATCTTATTTTAAATTTTATAATTTTTTTAATTTTAATTAAATTATTTAATTAATCTTAATTTATAATTATTTTATCATATAATAATTATTTACTAATTATATTTTATTTTATATTTTCGTACAACAATTTATTTGGGACTAATTGAGTAATTTTCAATAATATTATCGTAACGGAAACGCAAACTAACGACTCAGAGGGTAATTTCGTCATTTCACATGCCTGGGGGAGAGGCCCACAGATTCTGTTCTTCTGCATCGTCGTCATTCACAAACCGCCCAACCTCAAACTATAAATCTATGGCTGATCAAAAATCAGTTAGCCCATCACCCACCGAATCTCCTCAACAATCCACAGGCGCTGTTTGCTTACTTCCTTTCTGTTGGCTCGCCTCCTTCTCCTCTCCTCTCTTCGCCATCTCCAACTATTAATTGCTTCTCCTTCTCCTCCAAGAAAACCCTACAAAATTCACACGCAAATGGTTTCCCCTAATCCCTAACTCTTCTGACCTAAGTTTAAGTTATTCGAGCTTCTTTCCAAGTGTGCTTCGCCTCCTCCGCAGAATGAATTTCGTAAGCTCTTTCTGTAATTACTTTTTTTTTTTAAATTTTTTTTCCTTGTTTGATTAATATCCATACGCAAGTATTGATTCTCTGGAATTTGATGATGTTATTTTTTGTGTTTCCTTTACTCCTGTTGGATCCTAATTGATTTCTTTCACTTTCAGATAAGTTCCTTCCCCTTCCCCTTTATTCCTCTTTTAATCAGAGCCGTTCTTCCCCTCTATTCGTGTTGATTTTTTACTGTCCTTTTCGGATTCTAGCTATCTAGCTAAGCTATTTATTGTATGGGGCCATGTTTGTTGTTAGCTGTTGCAATTTGGGGAAAGTCTTGCGGAGTGATTTCGAAGCTCTTTGACTAATTTTCATGGCTTCCGATTTAGGCCTTTAGATTCTTCTTTAGCTCGGAGCTTTTAGATTGGGGACCAAGTTAACTTTCAGGATTAGGTTCTGTATTTCTCCCAATAATAATGTGCACTAACAAACAAGGCTGCAAAGTCTTCTCTCCCTCAATGGATCAAACGAATCAGAGCTCGAAATATGAAGATTTGAATCTATGGGATAGTGGTGAAGATCAGGCCGTGAGAGATTCGTGCCCCTCCGATTGCGAGAGTGGGATTTCGGGGCCTGAAAATGATCGGCAGTCTCGAATATCTGATAGTAGTTTGATTAGAATTTGCGAGGGGGATACGGTATATGAGACTATTGAGGAAAAATTGGGGTCGGGTTTGAGTTCATGTGGTGTTAAGGATGTTCGAGTTGAGAGTGTTCATAGGGTCGATTATTCGGCGATCATAAACCGTGCCAAGCTCCATTGCTTTTGTATATATTCTAGAGCTCTGAAAATGAGCCGGGGCGATGCTAATGTCAAGTTTGCTTGGTATGGTGGCTCCAAGAATGAGATTTGTCGAATTCTTGCCCATGGTTTTGGCCTTCCGGATAATGCTCAGACACAAGATCGTGGCGTTTGTCTTTCTCCAGTTGATTGCCCTGTTGAGAGGTATCGCGATTTTCTCAACAGAAATGGAGCAATTTTTGTTGTCTTGATTTGCTTCTGCAGCTAATGTTATAGCACTTTTTGTACAGTTTTCATTTGTCGGCTGGCGATGATGATAGCGGTGTAAGTCATATGTTGCTTTGTCGAGTCATAATGGGAAAAATGGAGGCTGTTTGTGTCAGCTCCGGACAGTGTTGTCCGAGTTCTGGAGAATTCGACTCTGGCGTTGACGACTTAGTGTCTCCTCGGAAGTATATTGTCTGGTGCACGAATATGAACACTCATATCTTGCCGGAGTTTTTGGTCAGCTTCCAAGCATCGTATTTCCTTACAGGTGAACGATAGTTCAATGTTTTATCGATGATATGCAAATTGAAGTTGTTAGGACAAAATTTAACAATGTCTGTATTAACTTAGATCCAAGGGGCCCGCAGCCTCGAAGATCACCAAAGTCGGATTGGATGCCGTTTACAGCTCTGATCACCGAACTTTCCAAGTACTTACCTCTCGACGCTGTCAGGATGATCGCCAAACATCACTATGATTACAAAGTACGTATTTGTGCCCTGCCCTTGCCGGATTCTAACCATTGAAACCGCCGCAGCATGTCTGATCATGGGCTTCGTTTCTTTATCTTCAATGTGCAGAAAAGGAAGATTACGAGGCACGACATGATACAAAAGGTGAGACGCTTAGCCGGAGACGAGCTGCTGATGGAAGCCATTAAACTTTACGGCGGGAAGGTATAAAATCACGGTTCCCTTCTTGAGTTTTCTTTTTTTTTTTTCAATGATGTGCTTTCGTTTCTATATCCGTACTAGTCGATCTAAGATAATTTCGGTATTTTTTTATCTTCTCTAAATAAATAGTCAAATACGGTTGTGGTTAGGGCGTTGACTGACGCCCTACCGACAACACGTTGGATCTATATAAACAACACATAATTTATGTTAATATAATATAAGGGTTGGTTAGTTTGTTTGGGGTTCGAATTTTGAGTTGGAATTTGAATAGTAAAATATTTTGAATTAGAATCGTGGTATGATTGTGATATAAATAGGTATTGATGTGATGTTTTGAATATAAAATTTATTTTTTTTCTGATTTAATATTTTTGAAGAAAAAAAATTAATGAAAAATAAAATTTTGGTAGAATTCGCCAAACGAACACATCCTAAATGTATCGACGCATGACTGATAATTTAATTTGCGTAGCACATGAGCACATATAATATGTTAGCATAGCACAGTAGAGACAACATAATACAATGTAGCGTATGAATTTATAGCAAATAATAATAATCCACGGAACATATATCACAGTGAATTTCAGTACATAATACATGCTAATGATATGCGCAATACATTGTTTTAGCAACAATCATATGTTGTGCATACCTTTACGCTGTGATAATTGAAGTTAATCAGCGCTGTAACCCGTCATGTCCGATACCTATTTTTCATTTAAAGTTTCACATTCAATGGCCAACGTCGTCGAAACAACGACAAAACCGTAACACTTAAATCTTGGCTTGTGAGTAACTTACTATTGATCTATTTGGGCAGATTAAAGCATCAAGGAGCAATGCCTAAAGCAGATCATAGCAAATAAATTGAGTTTACAAAGAGAGGCCTTGATAACTAGACTGATCTCAGCTGACATTTTTCTTTGAGGATTATCTTTCAGGTATGTTTGCTTCTGCTTTTGCAGTCATCCTTGTGGATCAGATATATATATGTATATGTCTATGTATATCTATAATCTAATCGATTTTCCTGCGAGTTTGTGGATTATTGCCTGTCTTTGCTTGTTGGGATCGGTATTTGAATAATGAACACGGCCGTGTTTCTAATTTTTATTGGGCCAAGGAATGGGCCGGAAGTTTGTGTTGGGCCTTCATCAATGGACCTATTGAAGGGCCGACTGTTTTAGCTAGCCCTGTTTTGAATGGGCCTCACAGTAATGCTTAAAATAAATCTGGATAAATTTGACACGCAAAATAAATAATAATACCTCCGTCCACCTCTAAGGTTCCATTTACTTTTTGTGTGTTAAATATTTGAATATTAATTATTATATGAAAACGTAGTACAAATAAAGAAATTATGATTTCTTGGAACTCAGGTTAAAGGGAAAAGAGCAAAAATATTTTTAATGTTAAGTACAATGACACAAAAGGTAAATAGAACCCGTAGAGTCGGACGGATGGAGTATTATAATAGTGTAGAGTTACTTAATATGGAGAAATGAAGATTTGTGTTCTAGAAGCATTTGTTGTTACTCATATTTTACAAGAGATAGCTTACTTATAAGTTCTATTATATTAAGGTCTTTTTATTTCTATTTCACTGAATCTCTCTTTAAGATAGTACTCAGATCGTTAAGCCTTCGGTGGCAGGTCAGAATTTATCCGACAAGAATTTTTTCTACCTTAGGAAAATTATAGTTACGGCCGCCGTTCATGGAATGAACTTAGAATCCCAACCGGTATGAAATGAACTTATAATCCTGGATCATCAGATTATACGGCTATAAGTCACATGTACTATAATTATTCGAGGGCCAATGCCTGATTGCTGCAAATTTAATTGAAATAGCACAGTTCATAATAGTTTAACTCATTGGATCGTATCAAAATTTTAAAATTAAACGTATTTGGACGACGATAATATGAAAATGAGCGATGTCTTGAATATTTTCGTTTTAAAGAAAAAATTGAAATTTGTTATGACACATATTGTAGGTATCATTGCAAAAGGTTGCCAAGTGTATTAGTTGATGATTAATATAATGTACGATCATGTCTTTTTGTATTGTAAAAAAATATATTTTTTTTTGGAAAACGCAAATTTCAAAAAAGTATAGAAATATAAAATTTGAACAAAAAAACCAACCCTTTACGTAAAATACACATTTTTATTATATATTGCATCATTATCATTATATTTATATTTTGATATATTCCATAACAAAATCAATTAAATCTATAAAATTAGATGAATCTTTTGTCCAGATCATCTATGCATAATTATTTACAGACAAATGAACTGGCCAGCTTATTATCATATTCATTTATTTTATTTTATATATACCTATTATTATCATATATTCTTTCAGATATGGCTGTCCTTGTCTTCTCCACCCAAGTCGTCACAAACAATGCCGTGCCCTTTATCATCTTCCACAGTATTTACAAATCTACAAACTCACAATTTACACTAAAATGTCTTCAGCTTCATTGATCCATGGCAAAGATGGGATCTTTAGATCTCCAAGGCCCCCCCTTTCTCTCCCCCAAGACCCTACTTTCTCTATGTTCCATTTCCTATTCAGAAACATCAAATCAAATTCGGGTCTTCCGGCTCTTGTCGGAGCCGAAACCGGCGAGACGCTCACGTTTTCCGACCTAAAACATCGAGTCCTCAAGCTCGCCCGCGCACTCCGAAATCTCGACGTCTCCAAGAATGACGTCATCCTTATACTATCCCCGAATTCGATACTCTACCCCGTCGTGTTCTTCGCCGTCGTAGCGATCGGAGCCGTCACCACAACCGCCAATCCACAGTGCACGGTGCGGGAAATCTCGAAACAGGTCGAGGACTCGAATCCGAAGCTCGTCGCGACAATCCCCGAACTCTACGATAAACTCGAACACTTGAATCTACCTTGCATTATGCTATCCGATCCTATTTCTTGTCGCCGGGGTAGATCGAATACGGCGAAATGGTACTTTTACTCGGATTTGATCGAATCTTCCGACCCGGACGACGATTTATCGTTGCCTCCGGTTACCCAAACCGATACGGCAGCCATTCTTTACTCGTCAGGCACAACGGGAACGAGCAAAGGAGTCGTTCTAACGCACCGGAATTTCATTGCGTCGGCGATGATGGCGACGTCCGATCAAGAGGTCGATAAAAACACGAAGGATGTGTTCGTTTGCTTTCTGCCGCTGTTTCATATATTCGGATTGGCGAGTCTTCTTTACGCGCAGCTACAGAGAGGCAGCTGTGTCGTCATGATGGCAAGGTTCGACATGGAGAAGCTGCTGAGGGCTATGGAGAGGTACAGAGTGACACATTTGTACGCCGTTCCACCGGTCGTCGTCGCGTTGGCGAAGCAGAAAGAGCTCGTGAAAAGATTCGATCTTTCTTCGCTAAGGGAGATCGGGTCGGGGGCTGCGCCATTAGGCCCCGAAGTGATCGACGAATGCGCGAAAGGTTTTCCGCAGGCTGTTCTGTTCCAGGTACCTTATGATCGACTGAAAGTTTCGATTTTTTGTTGTTGTTGTTTTTTTTTTTTTTTTCTTTTTTTTTCGCGGTTTTTGCAATGTTCTTAGCTAATGCTAGGAAAATGTTATAAGTTTGATCTATTCTTAATTTTAGTGTGATCGAAATTTATTCGAATTTGAAGGGTGTTGTGTAGAGCTAAATACGAGTTAGAAGGTGCGAAGTTTACGCGTAAATAATACTCTCGTCGTCCCAAATCAAAGAAGTTTTTGGAGTTTCGTAGTAGATTAAGAAATAACAGTGTTTTATTAGTCGGTGTGTAAAATTTTTTGACATTTTTGCCATTTTATTTTTATGTATAAAGTAATTGTATGTATAGTGATATTTTTGTAATTTAAATAAAAGTTAAAGGTATTTTGGTATTAGTTTATTATTACCTTTTATAAAATAGGAATGAAATACTTTAAAATAAGATATACATATGAAAATAATAAAAAAAATACTTTGAATTGGGACGAAGAGTGTATCAAACATGAATTTGGCGGGTCGAGAGGTTGCGCCCCCTCGTGGCGGTCCCTAAGACATATTTTGAAGGAAAATGAGTATGTGTATTATTACAAGATTATATAATATGTAACTAATAAATTATTTTTTTATTAGCTTAAATTTTTAAGATTTTAAACGAGACGATCATTTAGTATTGCATAAGAGTGGAAGGCCTTATGTCTTCGCTTGGACTATCTAAAGTTAAGTTTGTGCAATTTGATTGCACGGGCGAATTATAACTTTTTAAAAATGTTCGTTTCACAATCCAATCCTCATCTTCGATTGTTCGTTCGTAATAAATTAAATTGATTGCACTGAGTTTATATGATAGGATCTATTGTCCCTACACTCAACCATTTGAATCTCATAAAAAAAAGACAATACCAAGTGTACAAGTATCGAAGAATAGAGTTCGATTATTGACAACATGTAAGAATATTTGCTATGCATTTTGTCCGGCGATAGGGCTATGGAATGACGGAAACAACGGGTGCTATTTCTCTCGAAGACACGAGATTGATATCGCGAAGCTCAAGCTCTACGGGGTTCCTTGATCCCGGAGTCGAAGCTCAAATAATCGACATAGAAACTATGGATCCTCTCCCACCTCTACATAAAGGCGAAATTTGGGTTCGCGGGCCGAACATTATGCAAGGTAAAAATTGTGAAATATTGCGGAGTCTCGCCAAGGCATTAATTCGTACTCAGGGTGTGTTTGTTTGGGGGTTTGAATTTTGAGTTGAGATTTGAATAGTAAAAATTTTGAATTGGAATAGTAGTATAATGTGATATAAATAAGTATTGATGTGATATTTTGAATGTAAAATTGATTTTTAGTATAATATAAAAAATAAAAAATAAGTGTTTGATTTGATGTTTTTGAGGAAAAAAATTTGTATGAATAGTATAAATCTTTCCTAATCCTCCAAACAAACACACCATCAAAGTTCGTACTACGTCGAGATATATATAATTTGATTTAATGTTATGTTTCGAATATATATTTTTTTTGTTTAAAAATATTATATCTAAAATCTATTTTAATTTACAAAATAATTTATAGAAATACTAATTTTTAATCTTAACATTACATCTAACACATATTCAATTCAACTTTAACTATATGTGAAAAGCCAACATTTCCAAAACATAGTAATAGACATATCTCCTCAAATATTTTCTTATTGTTTCTAATTTGAGATGATGTCTAAAAAGTTCACAAATTTTGTTTATTTACACAATTTTTTTTTTCTTTTAAATTTTTTTATTATTTTAAATATGATTTATAAAATTATTCGAGTGTTGTTCTTCCTTCTTCGAACATACTTTTTTCCTTTCCATAGGCTATTTCAAGAATGAAACCGCGACGAAACAAACTATAGACAACCAAGGTTGGTTGCACACTGGCGATTTAGGTTATTTTGACAACAAGGGGTGCCTACACATAGTCGATAGGATCAAAGAGCTTATCAAATGCAAAGGGTTCCAAGTAATCTCTACGATCTTTTTCAATACTACGCCCATTTAGTTTCGTTTTTTTTTTATATATTTCTAGTAAAAACAAACTATTTTATTTTACAAAATATTAACAGTAGTTTGAATATAATGTTTCGCCTCCAAGTCTGGTTTCTCTTACATAGTTCATTTAGTATGACTTGCTTTGTTAGCCTAATTTGCAGTCTATTAGTTCGATCGCAGGTTCCTACGTCATTTTAGTAAAAAAAAAAAAAAAAAACCTAAACTCCAAAAACTAACACACCCTTAGGCTTTTGAACATTACAAAAAGTTTAAAAAATATATTTGCTCGGCTGTCGCTGCAGGTTGCGCCCGCAGAACTTGAAGAGCTGCTTCTCGCTCATCCTGAGATAAACGATGCAGCAGTTATCGGGTATTTATATATATACATATACATACAAAGTTGTCTGAAATTCATCGAATCATAGACACACTGCATAGCTAATTAATTAATACAACTTTTACAACGTGGCTGATCATCTAAACAACATTGTACTGCAGATCGCCGGATGCTGAAGCCGGAGAGGTCCCGGTTGCCTATGTTGTCCGATCATCAACCAGTTCGATAACTGGAGAAGAGATAAAAGATTTTATTGCAAAACAGGTAAATTAATTCTGAAGAATTGCATATATATATGATCACTTAATTAATTATATCAAAATTTATTTAATTAATTAATGTGAATTTAGGTAGCGACGTATAAGAGGGTAAGGAGAGTGATATTTTGCGACGGCATTCCCAAGTCAGCCTCCGGCAAGATCTTGAGGAGGGAGCTCAGACAGGGACGACTTTTATCCAAAATATAATTTAATTAAAAAAATTAGGCTATGTTTATTTATAATTTTGACCTTTTTTTAATATATAGTTAATTAATAATATTTTTTCTTTTAATATATATTACATTTACACTAATTATTTTTCTTTTATTTAAAATATTATATACAAAAATCATTTTCTTAAATAGTTTACATTATATCAAAATGCTTATTAATTACTCCCGTCCGTCGAGGCTTAAAAATATCCTTATATTTGTATAATATTTTTGTATAAATATCATTCTATTAGTATTGTAGGACACTAATAGAAGTATTTTTACAATTTTTTTTTTTTTAAATTTGCACTACGTTTTGATATAATAATTAGTATTAAAAAATCAATACGCAAAACGTAAACCGGATGAAGCTACTATTATGTTTAAATTACAATCCAAAACACCATGGCATGTTTTTTTAGATTGTTTTTTTTTTTTTAATTATAAAATTTTTGGTTTGATTTAAACAGTACTATTTTATTTGATGTTTTTCTAAGAGAAAATACTATATATATATATATATATAATTTTATTATAATTGGGAAAAAAAATTAAAATTGTATACACTTCCAAAATTTTTTAGTTTTTTTTTCCCCCCAAACTTTTGTTTTAGTTATTGCTTGATTGTAATTCGAGCTGTATATTAAAATTGTGTACACATGTGAGACTATCATACTTATAGTAACACATTTATAACTAGAAACATTTTATTATTAAATAAGCATAAAATAAATTTTTGATCTATATTTCACTTCTTTTCAGGGGATGGTTATAATAATTATATTACTCTTTATTTTTTAAAGAATTTTGTAATTGCAAAATAAAATGATCAAAAAATATTTATTTTATTGAATTAGTTTGTATAATTTACTTTTAATTAGTTAAACTACCTTTACTTGATAATTTATCTAAAATTTGTTCAAATATTTTATTAAATAATTTATTTAATGTATTTCATTAACCGACACATTATACATCGATTTGTTTAAATCAATTTTGCCAATTGTTATGATCGACATTACATTGATGCTAGCAATTTCAATTAAGGTAAGAGTCATCGCGATCGATAAATATGTATACTATAGTAGCTCCAACAATCACCATAGAATATTATCAAACAAACATAAACCCAATTGTTAAACCAAACGAATTTTCACTAATATATTTTTAAAGAATCAATTACATATGGGACTGATTTATTTATTCTCTAATATATTCATCTCCAAGCAAGAATTGATTTCTAAGAAAGATGCTATTAATTAACATGAACACATTAACAAAAATTATAATGTGTGGCCTAGTGATCCGAAAGGTGAATTCGTAATCGTGTCGTCATGAATTGTCTTGCTTACTACATATGATTTCCTAATAATTTGTGTACGTAATGAATATGCTAAATTGATCAAAAAACATAAAAAAAAACCAACATAAAAATAAAAAATTCAAAAAGAGCAACTTGTGTCCTAATGCATATTTGTTTGATCATGATCAATTGGGGCGACAAACCACAGACATCTCTGCCATCTTCAAATTGCATGTGAAACCCCCAAATAAGTTAATAACATAATGCTATAAATATATATGGCGGCTACGGTGGCGTTGAACTTTAAAATTTAACACCATGCAGACAGCCGCACACGGTATTGCTACAGCAGCATACCGTATCTATTTATATAATACAAATACAATAGATAAATTAATAACACATACTATAGTCTTATACAATACACATACTGTTTTACAATACACTTGTAATTATGAACTAACAATACAAGTACAACATATAAACTAACAACATATGCTATAATTTTACGCAATATACCATATACTATTGTACAACACACTTATAGCACTTATAATTATGGACTAATAGCACATATCTTTATTATACACGCATGCATAATAAAACTGTGTACTATTTGTATCCGTTCCCTATATATATATATATATATATTGTGATATCCTAAATTGAACATGGTTACGCTGTCCTCCACATTTCCATACTTCTCTTCCGATCTCTTCACATGGAACTATGGGCGCGATCCCACACGACACTCAAACAATACTATATATATATTCCACAAAACCCTAAAAACTTGACCTATAAAATCCCCAACCTGCTAACCTAATTTCTCCATCAATTAACTCCCAAACCCTAATTCCATCTTTGATCACATCTTTCTCTCTTTCTACAATGGCTTCTAAAGCAGCTGCCCTAATTTTTCTCCTTTCGAATGTTCTCTTCTTTACATTTGTAGCCTCATCGTCATCTCCATGCCCACCACCACCACCAAAGCCAAAGCATCACGGCGGCGGCAGCCATGGCGGCGGCGGCAAGTGCCCGACTCTAAACTTGGGTGTGTGTGCCAATGTGCTGAACCTGGTGAAATTGAAGATCGGAAAACCTCCAAAGGAGCCTTGCTGCAGCCTGATCCCCGGCGTGCTCGACCTCGAGGCTGCCCTCTGCCTCTGCACCAACATCAAACTCGACGTCTTGAACCTTGTCAAGCTCAACCTACCACTCTCACTCGAATTGCTTGTCGGCCTCTGTGACATTAAGCTTCCCAAAGACTTCAAGTGCCCATCTTAATTGGAGATTTCGATCAATCTACCTCGATGTTTTGCAATATCTCTTTCTGCTTTTTGGTTGTTTGTTGATTTCTTTTTTTTGATCTGGTCTAGAGGTTTGTTGGTTGTCGTCATTATCTTCATAATGTTATGTTATTTTATGTATTCGGAGAATTATTGAATAATATTGTATTCATTATGCAAATTTTTTAATTTAAGTTTGTTTATCCATTGTTGTACAAATTAATTAGGTAGGCTGCCTGGTGTTATATATATAATTATATGATACATTAAACGAAAAAGAAATGTATGAGGTTATATTTTGAAGTGAAAAAAAATAAATTTACTTATATAAAAACTGAAAAACGAAAGGAGATCACAACCTTAGCTAATTTTAATTATTTTGCATTGACATTTTAAAGTGTTTTATTAATAATAATAAATAATAAGATAGTACAAAATTATTTTCATATACATGGTACATTAACATATAATAGTCCACACAATACACACAATAATTATTCTTAACACAAAATGTATAATAACATACCACACATATAAAATAATAGACAATACACAATAACAATCCACATAATATATGCTATATTAATTCAAAGAATGCATGAATTTTGGTTAATGTTGTCCGCAGGTGGTCTGATCAATGTTTGAATTCTGGTGGAGAGCTGTGACCCATTCAATATGGAGCAGTTAATCTATTTGTTGCCACCTGAGTTGACCAATCTGACATATCTAAAAAAAAGAAACATCGATTTTAGGGGATAATTGATTGAGAAAATATCCTGAGTCAATATATGGATTTATTTAGAATGATTTATTTTCATATTTGATGTTCTTACCTATGCGTTGATTATATTGGTGATGTGAAGAATATGTTTATAAAGAATACATAGTTGGGTGAAGAAGCTTGGGAGCCGTGTGAGATTGTAGAGATAATCCTTGGGGTAATAAATATCTCTATGATAGAAAAATAGAGTAGACAAGATTGTGTGTATATATAACTAGTTGAGCGACCATAGGAAGAAGGATTGTACTCTTGAAGTAGCATCTTATACAAATCTATTGTAAGTTCGATTTATTCTTCATGGAGAGTGATATTGTTTGGGTTGAAACCCCTCAGATTTAGGTCACGATTGAACCGAATTGGGTGAACAAATCGTGTGATTTATCTATTTTTTATTTTATATAGTTGTATGATTTATTCGTTAATTGTTTGATCAACGCACAAACTCCTGAGTTGTATTGCTGATCATTCAAGACATTTGGGACTAACAACACTATTAGTTTATACTTCATGCATTAAATTCAACATCCTAACCACCCCTGAATAAATTATAAAATTATGCAATTATTCATTTTTTGGTCATCCATTAAATTTATTTACAATTTATTTATAGTAAATAAATTTATGCGTTCATAATTTTATTATTATTGCTTTTATCAAATAATAATTAATTTGTCACTATTTTATTTTACGTATCCATTATATTTTATCAATCATTTACTAAATTTTTTATAATACTTTTACTTTACTTTTGACTTATCTTATTTTAATATTAAAATATTATTATTTCGCATTCAATTATACCTATATAAAAAAAGAGTAACTTATATCGGGAGAGGAATATATACACATATGTTGATTTTTTTCTAGATCTAGCTGACTTATGCTAAGATCTAGAAAATAATCACGATAATAATTAAAATTGAAAAGTTTGGCTTTACACGGTAAATAAAATTATGTTTCCTTCTAAAATATTTAAGCTTTAGTAAGTCGAGAGCTACAAAAGGAGCCATGTGCTTTAAGGCGAGAGAAAAATTAGATTGAAATAAAGGGTAGTAATTCACCATAATTGGATGATAAGCGATCTCATTGTGAGCGAGTAACAATGAGTAATACATTTAGAGTGCGTTTACCCTATTTTATAGGATGAAATTATATAATAATTATATACTAATTAATATACAAATATATATTCAATCATATCTTTTGTAGTAAATAACCCTTAAAGGGAATGATTAATTAAATTAATAGATTGAGAACTTAAGGTATATCAGTTCACCATATTTATAGAGTGTTCGTAACTTTCTAACAGTTTGAGCTTTTAGGTGAGACGGTCATTCTGCATCCGACATAGATGTTAAATCGATTTTCTTTGAACCGAAGGCCACTAAGGCTTTGTTCTTTTTATTATTTCTTTCTATATGTTTTTCCCCAAAATATTAATACACTACTCATATTCATTATTTTTATATTCTCTAAACAATTTTCTATATTTTGCATAAAAAAAAATTCATTTCCAACAATCTCACAGAGCAAATACATCTTAACTTACCAGCTAGCACAAAACAATAAGTGAGTTGCATATATATAGCTCTTCAAATTAAAAAAAAAAAAAAAAAATGGGAGTTTGAATAAATACCTTGTGAGATTTCTAGACCAATTGTGGTTTTTTTTGGATTTAATTTGAATTTTTTGTTTTTTTTTTTTGTT